TGCTGCTGTTGCTGCTGCCTTGGGTTTCAGCTTCAGCGGTGAGATGAGCAGGCATATTCGGTGCGATGGTCCATGTCTTTAAACAACAACTTGTCTTGAGTGGATGCACAGCGCAATCGTGCAGCATTTCGGCACTGGATCTGGCAAACAAGACCCGTGGACAAAAATCCAAGTATGTCTGCGAAAAAGTTGGCCTTCTGACTGCATACAGCATGACTTGAAGTATGGGTGTTTAGGCATCCTGATCACATCCCATCAAAGAGTTGCCAAAAGCTTCGTGGCGGAAAAAATGGCATGAAGTTCTAATAAATGGTCTCCGGTCCAATCCTAGGCCAATATAAATCCTCCCAAAGTACAGAAACCGAAAACAACCCCAGTAATCTGCTAGGCAAATAAACAACATGATGCAGCAAACGCACTACTTTAGGGTTTAGGGTTTAGGGTATTTTTTTCGGCGCAGCCATGGCGTGTCAAGGTGGTTTCGACTTTGGGGGCCTCCGAAACCACGGGCTTCTGGGCCTTCCTTCCTCTCAACCCATCGGAACGAGATGATGCACCAACCACCCTCCACCACATAGCCAAACCCAAAAAGGAGCGAAGACAACGACGGCGCTATGTACCACCCACCCCCCTTGCTCCGGTTGTGGAAAACAGGACCACCAGACATTTGTTGCAATTACCTACCGCTACACCACGTGGTCTCCCACCTCCAGGTCCAGGCAACTGCCGCTGGAGTCGGCCAGGTGCAACATCTCGCGCTGTTCTTGACTGGCGAAGGCGGCGAAGGGAAAGGTGCCGCACTCGCAAGATGCAAAAGACCCCCCCTGCTCTCTGCCGATTCTGCCTGAACATCTCCACCTCCATCGTGCAGGTTTGGGCGAACCAGTAGCCACCCACGGCCAGGCAACCCTCCTTGCCCTCACAGTGGCACCAGCCCGTTCCACCATAACAACCCTCTTGATCATTGCAGGTCGTCTCCTCAGACTCAAACAAAAGCAAACACCGGCAGCAAGCGCAGGCTCCCAAGGATTGCCAAGGCTGACGAGCTTCGTCTGGCATCACGGCACCGTTCCCGTAGAAGTCGCACCAGGCCCACATCTCCCTCTCTGGAAGGAAGTCGGCCGGGTCCTTGCAAATGGGTGCGAAGCCAGCGCCATAGAGGCTCTCGTCGACGGCCCGACTTTGACCTTAGAACCCGCTCACAGCAGGAATCACTTGAGGGCCGCCAGCTGATCCTTCTTCATCGATTCCTTGCATATTGCAGCGTCTCACACCCTCCGGGACGCTCGCGGGCGCCGTGCTGCAGCAGCGCCGACGAGCGTGCTGCACAAGCGGCATCTCCTTTCGTGGGAACACTGGGCTCACCAAGGCTCGCTCTTGCCGGCTAGTTCTGGCTCGACCGTGTGATCGCCTGCGTCGCAGAGCTCCGAGGCTTCGAAAACCGGGAGTGCAGCTAGTAGAAAACGCAAAGTCAACCTCGAAGCCATCCTCAGGTCGATGCGCAAACACTCAGAGACGCGCAGGATCGCGGAGGCGCCAGGAGTGTGCATCCAAGTCTCGCGGCAATCTCGAGGCAGCAGTGTGAGCAAGTAAAGTTTGGGATAGCTGATGCTTAGCGGCTGTGCGAGAAGCGGCAAGACACGTTGCTCTGCACACTCCCAGAATACCAGCAAAAGCGGATCCACTCTCGCATCAGACTGGCTGCACAATCAAAAGCAGTAGTCAAGTCGTGTTTAGTTCAGCTTCGCAGCTTTCGTTTCCAGCCAGTCTTGCATGCCCATCATCGCTTAGGCCGAAGATTCTGGCAATGTCGGCCTTGCCTCGTACTCAGCGCCGAACATCTTGTACATGGCATCTTGCCTCTCCTCATGATAGGCTCGACTGACACAACCACAGCCACTAGACTAGGCAGCGTGCCTGAGTGGCGTCGCAGATGGTGTTGAAGGACATGAAGTGTTCCTAAGAGGTACTTCGGCAGGCCAACTCGTTCGCCACATCGCTGCAGCAATGATCAGAAAAACCTGCAAGTCACAGACAAGACACGTTGATGTTTTGCGGGCCGTACTTCTTGATGAGGGTCTGCAGCGAAGCTTGAATTCAGCGTCCTACTGCCGTGACTGCACGAAACGAGCCAATGAAGCTGCTGGCACACCACTAATTCCGAGGCGAAACAGCCTAGTCAGGCCTGCTTGCTTCACAAAGTCAGTTAATGCAAGTAAAGATTGCGCTGACCCGCTCGAAGAGCTTGCCGATGAGCTCGGTTTCGCCCTTGCAGAAAGCTGAAGAGAGTGGAGACAAGATAACAGGGGTGATGACAAGGGGCGAAACCCCGCAGCCTGCCTTGAGCATTGTGGTCTGATTGGCCACACCGACCCGATCCAGGTCCACATCCGGGTCGAAGCCCGGGCTCATGGCCTCCACAGTTCCACATAGCCCGGCATAGCACGGCCTGGTTTACGGCGACTTGCCGCCTTGCTGAACTTGGCCATGAACTCCTCACAAAAAGAGCAACTCTTCTGCGATGTTGCAGAGGAATGGGCTTGCAAAGAACGTGACAAATTCTGCCCCGCCGGCCCGATTGCAGCTGGCCTCCTTGTTGCCCTCTCCCAGCACGTAGGCTGCAATGTACTCCGCTTCTGCCATGTTCTTCAGGACGATGTACCTGCCCCACGAGCCAAGGTGTCATTAGCACCGTCGAAGACCCTAAGCTCTAACCCGATCAGGGTCACTTCGACGCGAAGGACTTGGTGGCCACAGTCTCCTCGTGGTCGTACCTGGAATTTCTAAAAGCGACGTTGCACTTAGAGGGCCCTGCGGGATAGCACGGTAATAAACGATTAAAGCATACTGCAACTGCAACATACGAATATATCTACTACAGTATCGAATGTGTCACCATATACTATGACATAGTATCATATACTACAGCCTGCAATGAGACGCGGGTGAGGCCTGGTCATGGCAACTGGGCCGGAACAGCTGATCCGCGTAACTTCGAGATTTCGATTTGCCCAGAGGAAAGACTGCTCTGATGCAGACGTGCGGCAACATGGCAAAAGAACTGTGGAAAAACAGAACTGGGCGGAACAGGAGCAACCTGACTCTTAGGGCCCTGGATGATCAAGGAATTCGAGCGTGAACGATCGCGACTGTAGCCGTTCAAATTGAGCAAAGCCCCGTCAGAACTCCACCAGCGGCACTTGCCGTGGATGATGGCAGTATGATCCTTGTCCTCTAGCAGGCATTGAAACTGCAACAATGCTTTGCTGACGGCACGGGACCATTCATTCAAACCGCAGGCGTCAGAGCAGAAAAAGCGACTCTTAGGATTTTGGCTGTGCAGTGTGCGCAACATGCTGTGTCTAGAAGGGCCTTGCTGCGCTCGACTGAAGCCCAGACCTGCGGGCGCAGGAGAGAGCATGATGTTCTCAAACCATTGGATAATGCAGGTGATCACCCTCGACAACAACCACCGCAACAACAACCACAACAGCAGCAGCAACAACAACAGCAGCACTGCGATTTGGCATCCGTCAACCGAGCCAGCCTTGGAAACCCATGGGCAGGTGGTGTCCACGATCTGAACATTGCGCTCCTCACAGCGCAGCTCTCAAGCTAGCCAGGGAGCAGGTTGAACTCTGGGGGGTCTTCGCAATTGAACTATGGCCGTCCATGAAACGAACCTACAGTTTACAGGCTGCACACGAGATCCTTTTGACTCTGTTTTGATTCTGGAGAACCCGGTGATTAGATACGGCGGGAGACGGCCCTCAGCAGGATCCTGAACCTTCAGACTTCAGACTGCAGTGACTGCTTCCCTGCGGATGCCAAGCACCGACAGCTGGAAAAATTCGGTTGAAACAGCTCTCTATGATAGATGCACATGATGCATATGCGGGCACCGACAAATTATCTAAGTTGATTGACTGGCGTGCCCAAAAGCTGCGCAGCTGCGCCGTTATCATTGTCCCGGCCCAGCGCACTTTAAGCAGTGCCATCTCATCGACGGACGCACCGAAGGCGGGCAGAATGACAACCTCGGGTGCTGGCGAGAAAGTCCAATCCAAGCTCGAGCCCTACTCCTGAGCCAGGGGCATCCCCCTCCTCCACGGCTGAATAATCCTGACAAAAGCAACATATCGAGTGATCCTGCCTGCGGCTCATTGCCAAAGGTTCGTAAGCTTCATGGAAACCAGGCTGAGCCGTTTCAGGATATCGACACCATCCATGGATCTTTGGTAACCCCCGAACCCCCAAACCTGAACCTTGAACCCCGCAAAAACGTGTGAAACTCAGTGCAGCCTCGACGGGCATTGGCAGGGCTGTTTAGGCGCGCACAGCTAGGTGTGTGTGTGTGTATGTATATATATGTATATATATATATACATATGTATGGATATATGCATATATATATATATGCATATGCATGTATGTGCGTATGTATGTATGTATGTATGTATGTATGTATGTATGTAGGTAAGTAAGTAAGTAAGTCAGTATGTATGTATGTATGTATGTATGTATGTGTGCATGCATGCATGTATGCATGTACGCATGTATGCATATGTAAGTATGCATGTATGTATGCATGCGTGCATGCATGTGTGAGAGCACATACAGTACATACACACATGCATGCATACATACATACATACATACATACAGACAGACGGACAGACAGACAGACAGACAGACAGACCGACGGACAGACAGACAGACAGGCAGGCAGGCAGGCAGGCAGGCAGGCAGGCAGGCAGACATACATACATACATGCAAACAGAAATATATATATATTGTTATTTCAACTAAGCATAACAATATGTGATTCTGTGCATAAATAATTGTGTGTATGAGTGAAGTATGCACGTGCTCATGCCAAATATGCGCACATGATCCGGAGAATAGCATGAAAGACAGACAAGCCAAAGGCAGAAGAGCGGAGCCTTGCCCCCATCCTTCGTTGTCTCCACGAAGCGCATCCCTTTATCGGAGAGATTCTGGTTCACCTCAACAACTGCAGTCTACACTTACGTACACTATTTAGCACGTATATACTCCGAATTGAGGCCTCCATGTCTGCATGACACAGTATCTACGGCCCGCACCGACGGATTGTGAATGATCTCATTCCTTGCCACAGGAATAGCTGGTGTGCAGCGGAAATGATGACATCGCATCACAATGACAGCTCCGAATGCAGGAACTCCTACAATGACAAGAACGAAGGAGAATCTGAACAGCATAATCAACGACAGTCGGGTAATTCGCAGCTGAGTTCCCGACGTCACCCAAATGTTCTTGTCTGGGAAAAAATCTCGAGCCTGCAGAGCTCGGCGATGCTGCGCTGTCACATCACCCGGCACTTTCATACAGCCTACATTCCGGCAAACACGTTCGCCAGTGGTTTCAGTAAAAAGAACGAGCACTCTGCTTGGTCCTTGTTTGATCAATCAGAGACTACGCCTACGCAACAACGACGTGCGGCAGAAAACGAAGCTGGGAAGAGAGATGGCTCGCGCCTCGTAGGCCATGGCGACCGCTCGCTCCACGCCCCAGCAGAAGCCATAGGACCTGCAGGCGTTTTGGGGGCTACGGCTCAGGTTTCTGCCCATGCTATTTCTTGATGCTTGGGTCCGGACTCCGCCAACACGAAGGTGATGTCGCCGACCTACAGAGCTCCCGGCTAGGCACACAATCACGTCGCTTATCCGCGCTCTCACACACCCTCTTCAATTGCGGCAGCTTGCGACGGACACCCACGTCGTCTCAGCCGCTCACAGTCAGGCGGAAGCCATTCTGCCGAATCTGCGCATATGGAATTCCGAGTCTCAAGCATAAACTTTCTGGACTGTTGCTTATTACAGCTGGATAGAGCGGGGCAGATGGCCACCGACGGGCAAATGGATCAGCTTCTTCTCGTCTCCCTCAAATCGACGAGTGCAGGCCTTGGTCAGCAGCTCGCTGCCACTGACCTCGCAGGTGCAACCCACGAGCGTCGTAACTTCGAGCCCTCCCGTCTTGGCGTAACTTTCGCAGAACCACTCGTACATATGTCTCGTTCCTGGCCTCCTGCAGCTGATTCATGGCATTCTCCATCTGGGTCCTGCAGGGTTTAGCTGTCGTCTGTTTCCCAACCTGTTGTCGTGGAACGAGCAACGAAAACCATCATGCCTCATCATGCGACAAGGGGCATTTGTCCATATGTTTCCAGTCAAGCTCACACCCACTACGCATGCAAGCTGCACCATCTCCTGCCAAACTTGTAGTACTGGTCGGACCTGGGACGGCTTGAGCCATAAAAAAATGGGATCCTAGGGGAATAAGAGCCTCTAAGTCCTCGGCCTCATCAAGTCTCGCCTCCATTGCTTCGTGGTGGCCTGAGCTTCGGTGCCCCAGGGTACTGGCCCGCTAACAGCTAGCACACCCGCTTACCATGATGGCCCTGAACGCGCTGATTTTCAGCTTTCCTCCGCCTTCTCCAGCCTCTGCCTTTTCGAGGGTGCCTCGTCGGGGCGCACTTCCCCCGCCGTGTTGCCGGGTGTGGAGTGCAGTTCGGTGTCTGGGACGCCCCTTGCAGCTGTGGTCCAGATCCAGCAGCGCCACAACAAGCGATCCGGATCTACGTAAGGATCACGGCCGTGGAACATGCGGTAGTTGTCCACCACCAGGGCATCACCTGGCCGCAAGTAGATCCTGTCGGCTGCTTCCGCTGCTTGCTCTACCGCTTGATGGTAAATCGCCAACATGCGTGCATCTTTCTCCGGGTCGTCGGAATCATGGCTCACCCTCTGTGCTGCAAAAGCTGCCGGCGGACCAGACAAGCGACACCGAAGGGCTCGCCGCCCGTCAGGTGCTCGCAGAACGACGGGCGAAATACTGGGCAGTCGGGAAGTCTGATCAACGGCCCTTTCCTCCAGTGCCTTCACTACCCAAGAGTTCTCAGCATCCTCCGCCAATCCATCAAGGAGTTGGTAGCCATCGATGACAAAGTTACCACCTCCCTTCGAGCTGGCATGCGCGCAAAGCAAAAGGAAGTAGTCCGGGAAGAGGTCCCCGTAGGCATGGCCGTCAGTGTGCGCTCGGAAGGCGTCATCCTTGCGGATGCCACGAGGTCCCAGGGTTTTCTCCGAGACCTCCGCGGGTTCCGGTGCCGCCGCGAGAACTGCGCCGAAGATTTCTCCAGGCAGCGCCGCGGCCCTTTCCCTGGAGCTGCCTGCCCCTTCCAGGATGCAAGCCCCGGCAGTTCGGAGCGCGGGAAGCACCTCTGCCGACGAGACTACTCTGGGAGGATCGGCAGCCACCATGGGCCTCAAACTGCCCTTTCTAAATATGGTGTTAAGGCCTTTGACGACGGTCTCACTTGCCTCTCTGAGAGCAACGTCATGCAGGATCTAGAATCCGGCTGGGGGGGGAACACTCGCCTGCACTGCAGAACTTGACACCACACACCCTCCTCCACATCTATGATTGCAAAATGTTTGTTTTTTATGCAGGTCCTGCCTGATGATGATGGTGGTGATGATGATGATCACCATGAGGATGATGATGATGATGGTGGATGATGATGATGATGAGTCGAGCTTCTAGGTTCCCAACCCGGTCCACGGTGGGAAGTTCCGTGGCAGCACCCTTCAGGGCCGTCCTTCGCGACCTTCATCCGAGGCTCAAAGCTTCAGCTGCTTCAGGCATTTTACAGGTCGGAGCAACTACGATATCGATGAAGTAAGCTGGGTAGCTTTCAGCTTCCAAGACTGTTCAACCTTGCAAACGATATCACCTCGGGGACTACAGATCACTCGTAGAGACGTCCGAATGCGCACAGGAAGCCGGCCCGCAACCAAAGGCCATCGACTGTGGTAACCCAAATCTTGATCATGGTACGCCCTGCACTGCAGAACCCTCTACCCTTACAGCCCTTAGCATGCACATGTCATACCTTAAAATACCAATTCGAGTCTTAGCGTGACCTGCATGGTAGACTTATTGCAACCCTTATAGCCTTCTGGCACCCTGCAAAACCCTCCAGGCGTACACATCGGCAGTTTCGGATGCCTGCGGGAGCCCTGCGATGCCAAGGCAGCGAGCCCTGGCAAAAAAAAACCGGGGCGTTTAGCGCTTGAGATAGAAGAGGCAACCTTCCAGTTCACCTTCCAGAAATCCCAAACCTCAACAAGCCCCTGGATCGTGCGCTTAAGATCGTCTCATTGCTTCTCTCGCAGGTGAAACCGCCCTGCTCCTTGCGTCGACCTGGCACCCTAAACGCTCGTCGTGACCATCGCCAGCGGATCACCCGGAAGCCTGCCACTGTAGCAGCCGCCGCAGCTCGCGGGCCCTGTCATCTTAACAACCAGCCAGCCTTGCATCAGCTAGCCTGGCAAATGCAAGCCCTGAAAAGTCTTCGGGCCTGAGACGCCGATGAGCTGGCAGCGGAATGCCCCGAGTGCCCTGTGGCAATCAAGCTCTAAGCAACTTGGGTATCAGAGATTGACATCGTGGTGCTTGGGATGTCTAGGTACAGTCTAGGACTCCGCTGATCCACATGTGTCCACCGGCAGAGCGCCTGTGGCACGCAGACTGGTGGCTGTAGACGACGGCAATGCCACGAAGGCAGTGCCTCTTCAAAGAGCTGAACTTGCTGAGATTTCTGCGAGCAAACGTTGCGTTCCATTGAGAGTGGCCAACATCTGATCACGAGAGGAAGCTTCACGTTCGTTCTGTGCCTCCCAGATTGGCCAACTCAGCCATAGCCGACCTCAGCAGAGGCGTGAAGCCAAACTTGGCAGATTAGAGCTCCTGTGGCAAGTCGGGATCCCGGCACACTGCCCTCGAAAGCAGAACAAAAGCACAGCTGGAGCCGAAAGGGAAAAGTGGACACCGAGGCATCTTCATCGGGGAATCAAACGAAGGCTGCGGGTGCAACAGCGGGGTGAGGGATCAAAAAATTAAATAAGGATCAAAAATGAAACCACAGGATCAAAAAAACTTAAGATTAAGGATCAAAAAATTGCATCACTATAATGTAGAAAAATGGGAAAATAAGGCGGAAGGGATCAAAAAAATCAAATAAGGATTAAAAAATTGACTACTAGTCGTAGTAATACTAGTACCAGTACTAGTAGTAGTAGTAGTAGTAGTAGTAGTAGTAGTAGTACTAGTACTAGTACTAGTGCTAGTACTAGTACTAGTACTAGTACTAGTACTAGTACTGGTACTAGCACTAGCACTAGCACTAGCACTAGGACTAGTACTAGTACTAGTACCAGTAGTACCAGTAGTAGTAGTAGTAGTAGTAGCAGCAGCAGCAGCAGTAGTAGTAGTAGTATTAGTAATAGTTGTTGCAGTAGGCAGTAGAGGTAGTAGTAGCTAGTAGTTAGTAGTTAGTAGTTAGTAGCTAGTAGCTAGTAGGTAGTAGTTAGTAGTTAGTAGTTAGTAGTTAGTAGTTAGTAGTTAGTCGTTAGTGGTTAATAGTTAGTAGTTAGTAGTTAGTACATAGTAGTTACTAGTTAGTAGTTACTAGTTACTAGCCAGTAGTTAGCAGTAGTTAGCAGTTAGCAGTAGTTAGTAGTTAGCAGTAGCTAGTAGTTAGCAGTAGCTAATAGTTAGCAGTAGCTAGTAGCTAGCAGTAGCTAGTAGTTAGCAGTAGCTGGTAGTCAGTAGTCAGTAGTCAGTAGCTAGTAGCTGGCAGTTAGTAGTTAGTAGTTCGTAGCTAGTAGTCAGCAGTTAGTGGTTAGTGGTTAGTTGTTAGTAGCTAGTACTTACTAGTTTGTACTTAGCAGTAGTTAGTAGTTAGCAGTAGCTAGTAGCTAGTAGCTAGCAGTAGCTAGTAGTCAGTTGTCAGTAGTCAGTAATCAGTAGTCAGTAGTTAGTAGTTAAGTAGTTAAGTAGTTAAGTAGTTAAGTAGTTAAGTAGTTAGTGGTTAGTGGTTAGTGGTCGTCGTCGTCGTCGTCGTCGTCGTGGTGGTGGTGGTGTGTGGTGGTGGTGGTGGTGGTGGTGGTGGTGGTGGTGGTGTGTGGTGGTG